CTTCTACCAATGATCCTTCAAAGCTTTTGATCGGTGGAGTCTTTAAGTTGTTTCTTTTTCAAAATAGAATGAGTCTTGGTGTAGCAAAAGATGCAGAGCATGTTTGGTTTTAAAACATGATAAACTCTGTGGCTTGTATTTGTATATTTCTGCCACTCTATCCACTACACCAGACAGTCTCTGCTAATACCTCCAGACAGAAAGGAATCAGTTCCATTTTTGTTCCCTTTCTTTGAGAATTGAGCAAAGTGTCTCACATACATTGGAAACCTGACTAATTTTGCCATAAATTGGAATAATCTTGATGACACATAACAGACAACTCCAGGTGTCTAGTGTAATTTATGTTCCAGAATTCTAGTATTGAGGGAATGTGGTACACAGTAGGCCCCTGGAGAGAGCCAAGGGTATGGCTTTACTTTACTTATTTATATTTAAATCTGTATCCCACTTTTTCTAGCAAGGAGAAACTTGAACCTCTTATATGCATGGGTATCAACAAAGCCAGTTCCAACAGATTATAACTTAATTTGTAGAATAAAAATGAATAAGGGGGGTGGTATCATACTTTGACCTTATCATGAGCAGAGGAAACTCACTGAAAGCAATAAAGCTCAGAAAGGTTGAAAGCCCAATAACAAAAGGACTGAATATGAAATGTATTGACTATTAAAGACTTGACTTTAAGACCTGAGCAGGGCTGCTAGTGACAGGATCGTTGAGAGGCCATTAATTTATAGAGTTACCATATACAGTATTGGAGGGAACATGACAGCACACAACAATGCCAACCATTTTGTCCAGAGACCAAAATTCTGTGCTTAATTAGACTCAATATAAGGAAGCCACCTGTAATCCATGTAGTTGGAAGATATTGTAATGGAAAACTGAGTATGGAAGTACCCCCCCCACACACACACACACACAGAGACACCACGTTAGCCAATGTAGTGTTTATCTAGAAGCAAATCTTGTTAAGAAATCCCCCTGGTTCTTTTTATTTTTTTAAGGAAGAGCCACTCTACAGCTCTTAAGAATGATAGCTAAGGTGAGTGGGTCCTCAGCAACTGAATATGTTTTCATAGTTAATCAACTGAGTTCACAGTTCTTCTCTTCTGTCACAAAAGCACATTGATGAATAAGGTAATTTTCTTAAAATAATGCAGTATTTCAGAGGAAGGTTTGTATATACTGTTTACAGATTTAGAGGTGTGGTTATTTCTCTGTAGTTCACTCCAGATGAAAATAATAAAGAGAAATGATACGAAATATGAAAATGAGACAGAGATTGCAAGAAATTCATTTTCCCACTGTGAGACGTGAGGCAAGAGGGTAGAAGCTCTCACCGGAGTGTTGTTCCTCCCTCAAAAAGGAACAAGAGGCGCAGACATACCTACCTACACCACCCGTCGAGAATATACAGCGAGGAGTTGATACCCGGGAATTAGAGCGGGAACTGTCAAAGATGACAGTAGCCACTCAAACGGGGAATGAGTTGGCAGGAAGAGAAGAAAGGAAGGTCTGTCGTAGAGGCGGGAATGGGAGATATAAAAGGGGAGGTGGAGGTAATACCGGGAGGTTGGGAAATGATATGGGTAGAGGACCCATGGACAGGAAAATGGGAGAAGGTGCAGGTCCCTAGGGAAGAAGCTGATTACAGGCAGAGAAGGGGGTTGCCACAGTGTCCTTCCTATTGGGGTGAGTCGGAAGCCAGAGAGTGGCGTAGGAGGCTCAGAGAAGAGAAGGAGGCAGTAGAAAGGGAGGAAAAGGAACGTTGGTTATGGTGTCTGGAGGAAGCCCAGAGGAGGGAATACCTGCTGGACCGTGGGCCCCTCTTCGAGGAGAGGAAGACCTTATGAGTCAGAGGGGCAACTCATGAAGAGACCACCCTGTTATTAAACCCTGAGGCAGGAACAGCTGCGATGGAAAGCAGTAACCCGTTTGCGAGGGGACCTTAGAATGACTCAAACTGTAACCCCTTTAAGAAAGACATTTGGATGCCCTCGTGGGACCCGTTGGCGACAAGAGACAATGCAGAAGTTGAGTTTGAGCATACGGACTTGCTGTTACATGTTCCAATCAAACATACCGTATTTTTTGCACCATAAGACACACTTTTTCTCCCAAAAAAACGGGGAGGGAGTGCATGCGTCTTATGGAGCGAATACTGTCCCCTCCATGCCACCATCGCTGGCTTCCCAGGCCTCCGGAGGCCTCAGCAGGCCCCGTGGGGGCCTCCCCC